TTCATTTATGTATAATAGGAAAAGCAATGAGCCCAGTATGCTACCCTGCGGAACTCCCACGGAACAGGGAAGAGACCCGGACACAGAGCTTCCATGTTTCACAACCTGACACCTATCAGTCAAATAAGAGGAAAGGAATGATTTCATTAATGAATTGAATGCACTTTGTGTCAGGATAAAGACACTGAGGATCTGAACTTGTAAAACTCCAATGCTGAAAAACAGCCTACAGTATCAGTCGACAGCTTTGCTTGTCTTTCAATTATGATCAGATTGACCAGGATGGATATTAATGCCAAGTCTGAACTGTTTCCCATCAGGACATTGGAAGAACAGCAGCAGCAACAGGCTAAGCCCTCCGCAGCTGTGAGTGACCTGTCAAGTGTGGCCACAGCTTTAACATTTGTAGATAGTCCACGCAAGGTGAGTGCTTGATTTGAGTTTTTTGTTTGTCAGTTTAGAAAGTGAAACTCATGTATTACATAGATTCATTACACATAGAGTGAAATATTTTAAGCCTTTATTTCTTATAATTTTGATGATTATAGTTTGCAAATAATGAAAAACAAAAATTCAGTGTCTCAGAAATTTTGAATATTGCATAGCCAGCTTTTGGTATTTTGGCAGTCTGAGCAAATTCAATTCAGTTCAATTCAGTTTATTTATATAGCGCCAAGTCAGAACAACTGTTGTCTCAGGGCACTGTACACAAAAAACAAACAAACAATAAATCTAAAGAAGCCAGCAGACTGCGCAGATTCTTTTCTTCGTCACAGTCTCCCATCCTGATGCCAAGTTCTACTGGAAAATGAACTCAACATCTTCATAAAGCTTGTCAGCAGAATCTGTGTAAAGAATCTATGTAAAATGACTGACAAAATCATTGACCCTTTTTACGATGTTTTAATTTTTTACCTGAACTTGGATTACTTTAGACTGAATTTATATTTGATTTTAAGAAGTATTTGAGGTAATTAGCTTCTTTTTGCAGGTGTTTGGTGTGGGGCTTCTCCTTTTGTTTCTGATTTCTTTCCGTTGTTATTTTATTATTGTCTTTTTTGTCTTTCCATGACAGCAGGCGAGGCCCTTCTGCATGTCACTGGTCCTCTTACATTTTCTGGTGTATTCTTTGCTTTGATGAAAACCTTCTTGTCCTGTTTCTTTAATAATCTAGCTTTCTTGGCAATGTCAGCATTCTGTTTTGTAAGGTGTTTGTTAATATAAATGTTTATCCTTTTCAGATTTCCTACCTGCCAAAATAGATCAGATTTGTGTTTTCTATTTAATCAAATGATTATATGTGAAAAAGCAGACTTCCCTCTTTAATTTTTAATTTATAGAATGTACAGTGGGGAAAATAAGTATTTAGTCAGTCACCAATTGTGCAAGTTCTCCCACTTAAAAAGATGAGAGAGGCCTGTAATTGACACCATAGGTAGACCTCAACTATGAGAGACAAAATGTGAAAAAAAATTTGAGAAAATCATTTTGTCTGACTTTAAAGAATTTTTTGCAAATAATGGTGGAAAATAAGTATTTGGTCACCTACAAACAAGCAAGATTTCTGGCTATCACAGACCCGTAACTTCTTTTTTAAGAGGCTCCTCTTTCCCCCACTCATTACCTGTATTAATGGCACCTGTTTGAAGTCGTTAACAGTATAAAAGACACCTGCCCACAACCTCAAACAGTCACACTCCAAACTCCACTATGGTGAAGACGAAAGAGCTGTCGGAGGACACCAGAAACCGAATTGTAGACCTGCACCAGGCTGGGAAGACTGAATCTGCAATAGGCAAGCAGCTTGGTGTGAAGAAATCTACTGTGGGAGCGATAATCAGAAAATGGAAGACATACAAGACCACTACTAATCTCCCTCAATCTGGGGCTCCACGCAAGATCTCATCAGCCCGTGGGGTCAAAATGATCACAAGAACGGTGAGGAAAAATCCCAGAACCACAAGGGGGGATCTAGTGAATGACCTGCAGAAAGCTGGGACCAATGTTACAAAGGCTACCTTCAGCAACACACTACGACGCCAGGGATTCAGATCTTGCAGTGCCAGACGTGTCCCCCTGCTTAAGCCAGTCCATATCCAGGCACGTCTGAAGTTTGCTAGAGAGCATTTGGATGTTCCAGAAGAGTATTGGGAGAATGTCATATGGTCAGATGAAACCAAAGTAGAACTATTTGGTAAAAACACAACTCGTCGTGTTTGGAGGGAAGTGGATGCGGAGTTGCATCCATAGAACACCATACCAACTGTGAAGCATGGGGGTGGCAACATCATGCTTTGGGGCTGTTTCTCTGCAAAGGGACCAGGACGACTGGTCCGTGTACATGAAAGAATGAATGGGGCCATGTATTGTGAGATTTTGGGTGCAAACCTCCTTCCATCAGCAAGGGCAATGAAGATGAAACGTGGCTGGGTCTTTCAGCATGACAATGATCCCAAGCACACTGCCAGAGCAACAAAGGAGTGGCTTCGTAAGAAACATTTCAAAGTCCTGGAGTGGCCTAGCCAGTCTCCCGATCTCAACCCCATCGAAAACCTTTGGAGGGAGTTGAAAGTCCGTGTTGCCCGCCGACAGCCCCAAAACATCACTGCTCTAGAGGAGATCTGCATGGAGGAATGGGCCAACATACCAGCAACAGTGTGTGCCAACCTTGTGAAGACTTACAGAAAACATTTGACCTCTGTCATTGCCAACAAAGGATATACAACAAAGTATTGAGATGAACTTTTGTTATTGACCAAATACTTATTTTCCACCATTATTTGCAAAAAAATTCTTTAAAAGTCAGACAAAATGATTTTCTCAAATTTTTTTTCACATTTTGTCTCTCATAGTTGAGGTCTACCTATGATGTCAATTACAGGCCTCTCTCATCTTTTTAAGTGGGAGAGAACTTGCACAATTGGTGACTGACTAAATACTTATTTTCCCCACTGTAGCTGTGTTTCCATTGTCCATGTAAATGCGCAAATTAGAATTTCGAAAATATATTTGCTCAATGGAAACACGTCAATTTTCGAAAATACTTACTTTTTTTGACAAAATATTTTTATTCTAGGATGAGGTTGTTTTTCTGCCTTATCGAAATTGGTGTGTTTTGCAAAACTGCAATGGAAACACTTGTTTTGCATCACGGGAGTTACGTGATCAATGACGGCTGTTTCTACTGGCGAAAAAGACGACGACGACAAAGAAGGCAACAGGAAGTAAAAGTAGTAGTGAAATGAATGAAGTATTAAAAGAAAATAGTAAACTCACCGACTACAATTTCCCAAAAACGCAGCATACGTAACCGCTCCCAAGTATAAGAGGCTTGTCACTCGAAAGCCTCGATAAGACGCCGACGTCTCCTCTGATGATGAGCGCTAGTGTCATGGTAGCAATTATGCTTGTATTTACATCCATTGCCGCAATGTTTGTAATGACTTATCGTGAGAACAAACGTATTCACGCTTGACTTTAATAGCATTTCTTACTTAATGGAAACACTGCAATTGCGAAACAGTTTTTTTTTTTCGACATTAACAGAATATCGACAAAGTTTTGCACACATTTACAATGGAAACGCAGCTACTGACAAGCACAGGGCACAGCTGATGGCCCATGCACCCTTTCAAGCAGTGTAGGCACTTATACTTGATGGTTAGTTGGTGGAGTATTCTCCGAATGGACATGTGGCAGTACACTTTATAACTTGTAAAATGTTGTAAAAAGGTGAAAAAACCTTAACAGAAAAACAAACTTTTTAAATGTAGAGCGACACACTCACTCGCAAAATTTTGGAGTTGCTCAACCAGACGCAGTGAGCACAAGCAGGACCAACACGCAGGGGCAGGGACGGTGTGATTGCGTCAGTGTAAGCAAAGGTGGGAGCGCTATACTATAACCTATACTATATATAAGTTTATATATAAACCTATATATAGTAAAGCTATAATTCTGAAATAAACCTATAAACCACATGTAGCTATAAACTATAAACTTAGCTTTACTCTCTCCTGCTCTCTATTGTCACCAGACGATGGCGTGAATTATTTATCCTAACTTTGGTTTTTCTTGGCCTATATCAACACAGTTTAAAAACTGATCTATAGTCGGAAGTTTGACACAAATTAAAAGGGAGTCGCAGAGAAGCTTGTGCTGAAACGTGGGTTAGCCACAGTTCTTCACCATGCTCACCTGCTAGCTGGATGTAAACTGTGGAATGGATTTCATGGACGGTGTCTCATTACTCCGCATCTCATTGAGATACATCATCATTCATAAAATCCATTCCACAGTTGCCAGCTCACAGAGCAGCAAGAATCACTTGAGTCATTTTAGCAAACAACATTAAAGCATTAAACATGGCTCATTGATCGGAAATCTCCGCGGGTTTTATTGGAAACTTCTATCCATGATTTATGTTGAATCAGAAACTGATACTAATACTGGATCAGATCAGCCCCATCCCTAAAATAAACATTTTTAGCTTCACTATCTAATGAGGTATGGCTGGAGGGAGAATGTTAGTTTTATAAAACTATTCCCATTTCCCGCATTCTTTTTAATGTATATTGTAATTATTAATAATTTTTTTTTCAGTGATAAAAACCTTTTGGCCTTAGATTTAGGTTATTAGTAAAGGTTTTATTTTCTATTTAAGGCTGTTTTATCATTCATTAACCTTGTTTGCTCTTTGAAGTATTACAGAACACACTTTAGAGCAGCGGTCCCCAATCTTTTTTGCACCACAGACCAGTTTATTGTCAGACATATTTTCACAGACCAACAGATATAACAGATGAATACAACAAAATAAAATGATAGCCTACGACCAACACAAGAGCTAGTATTTTGTAAATATAATAATAAACGTCAATCCACTCACTTTGTACTTGTATTAGCAGTGTCTTCCTGACGTGTGCCAATGACTTTTCCCCTTTTCCTTTGTAAAGAAACTTTCCAAAGACGTCTGTTTTCACCAAGACAAGCGTCTTGACGCGTCAAGAGTGAGTTATAGACGGACGTAACATAGAGAATCCGGTCATTTTTCAAAAATAAAACCTTGTTCAGACTCAAACAATAAATATGTCGAAAATAATCTAAGTTATTTATTCTTTCTGTGCAGCCCGGTACAAAACGACCCACGGACTGGTACTGGGCCACGGTCCGGGGGTTGGGGACTGCTGCTTTAGAACTCATACAGCTCTGTTTCTGTGTGGAAGAAACAATGAAAAACTTTTACATATTCACAAAAACTGCCAGGACCAACAAGCAAAAAAAATCTATTGAATTTAAGGAAGTTATTTATTAAGAAATGTAATTTTAATGTTTGATGCTTTCATTTAAATTTTGTGTATTTTTGTCTTCACCTGGTTGCAGAGTAATGTTTTTCTGAAGATAGGTTGAGTTTGATAGACTGGAGAAGAAAAAAATCTTGTATTATGGAACAAAAACTTTTGAAAATTTTTATTATTTTATTTTTTATTTTGTTTTATTTTATTTTATTTTATTTTTTTGACTGTAGCTGCCTGCTGAAACCACTGAAGTTACAGAGAGAATTCCACTCGGGGTGGTTGCTGGAGCACCAACAAACTCTGCAGGAGAGTCTGCAACTAGTAGCACTGACACCAGGTGACTTCTAACTTGTATTGTAGTGACACTATTCAATTGTTTGCAATTCTGTTTATTTTCTGTTAGTTTCTGCTACAACACACAAATAAGAATCCTTAAAATTTATTTTAGAAATATTTCCAAAATGTGAGGATCTGAGAATCACTCTGTTCTTAGTTATAAACAATTTGGCTAATTAGAAGAAACCACTGAAACCTTAATGTTTAAACTGTGTCTCAATGGTTCTTCCCAGTGGACAGTCTGCAACAGGGACCCTCTGTCTGTCCTCCTCTTCAACACTCTTAGAGATCCTCGAGGCCATAAAACATTCTACGTAAGACTTTTGTTTTGTCTGTGGTTATTATGTGATATTACTGCAGAGCTGCAATGAATGAAGAACAGCACAAATATGTGTATGCGTGTGTTACCCAAATATATTATGAGCCAGTAGGCAAATTTAACAATCAATGTACCGCCAGAGGAACATTCCCAGTATGAGATTACTTCCTCCCTTTCTATAGTCTGACCCACACTACCAGGGACTTTGAATTTGCATAATACTCTGTTTAAATGATTTGATTGGTTGTCTTCTTTTGATTGACACCTCTTTTGACCAACTGGGTTCATCTGTAGACTCTTCATAGCCCAAAATGTGTGACTATAGCTGTGTAATCACGTTACCTTTTATTCAATATGCAACTTTGAAAATGAGAAAAAAGTGATGGTTATAGTGTATTTTAACTTTAATCAATAAATAGTTACAGTTACAACAATTTTGACTTATGAAATTAAAAAGTCAGATTGCTTTACATAGAGACTAGGCTTGTGATTTACTCCAAAGTGTTCAAGAGCAGTACCTAATTTAATCTGGATTGAGTCTGCAGGTTAAACTTGCAGAGAGTTGTAGATGCACAGTAAATCAAATGACTCCTAATGCAATTTTGGAGTCAAGATGGCTGCCACAGCTAATTAACCTTAGCAAACACAAGCATTACTCATCTAATTTTACAGACATTAAGCTGAAATTTGATGTGGCTTATCTGTAGCTAAGAGTCATTCCCATCACAAACTCAGAACATGATATTTTATGATTATCCCATGAGATTATGAATAACACTGATATTCAGGTTTGAACTAAATGGTTACAGCTCTGTCATTTCTCAGCAAAATCTTAGTCTAAACCTCAGGTATGAAAGGTCACAGGTGATATGCATTCCTTTTATTTAAATTGCTGTGCAGACAAGATTTACAGAACAAACAAACATACTTTCAGACAAACCCTTGGTTTTCTTTCTCAGTGGTATATCTCATCTCTGATGATATTACAGGAATGGTGTACAGCTGCTCCCAGAACAGAAGGGCCTGCCACTGAACTGCTTTATCAGTGCAGAGGTGGTTCATTGGCTGGTCATGAATGTGGAGGGTGTGGCTACACACGGAATAGCTGTGGATATTATGCAGGTAAATGTTGTACTGCATGTTCTTATGTCTGCTTAAGTGCAATAAAGAATTATTTCATGTTCCCTGAAGTGTCACCGTAATATACAGGGGTTGGACAATGAAAGTGAAACACCTGTCATTTTAGTGTGGGAGGTTTCATGGCTAAATTGGACCAGCCTGGTGGCCAACCTTCATTAAATGCACATTGCACCAGTAAGAGCAGAGTGTGAAGGTTCAATTAGCAGGGTAAGAGCACAGTTTTGCTCAAAATATTGCAATGCACACATTATGGGTGACATACCAGAGTTCAAAAGAGGACAAACTGTTGGTGCACGTCTTGCTGGAGCATCTGTGACCAAGACAGCAAGTCTTTGTGATGTATCAAGAGCCACGGTATCCAGGGTAATGTCAGCATACCACCAAGAAGGACCAACCACATCCAACAGGATTAACTGTGGACGCAAGAGGAAGCTGTCTGAAAGGGATGTTATGGTCTAAAACCAGGTGTTTCAGGTTTTTTTGTCTAACCCCTGTAGGTGTTGGCACATGACAGCAGATGCATGTAAATGCAAAATCAGAAACCAATAAAACTGATTTTATTCTGCAAAGATACAGTATGAATGATGAGTGCTGAATAACTTTGCTACAATCTGTTTAAAAAGCTGAGTTGTTAAAACAAAAACAGAAGCTAAAACAAACAGACTGGAACTGAAACAGAACAAACGCTAAAATATTCAGAACAAAATCAAAAAGAAGCTACTGCTAAAACCAGTACAACATTAACTAAAATGGTTGTGGCCTAGTGGTTAGAGCAGGCAACCAGAGATAACCAGAGTGTTTATTCCTGGCATTGTGCAGTCATATGTCAAATGGTAATCACTGATCCCCTTAATTGATCCTTATGTTCACCATTGGTGTATGAATGTGATCATTAAACTATTCATTTATCGCAAGTCATATCGTCATCGCCATATTAAGCACTGTTATCACAGGTTTTCCTGCTGTCTTGCAGCTCTACCCCCATGCCAAGCAGGTATTGGTTTGTCAAGGACAGACGTGGTGGTATTGGAACTTCCATGATTGGTCACGCCTGAAGGCACTTCCCATAGTGAGATACTGAGTGTGAGAGACTAGAAGCCAAAACCAGTGCAACTGAAGCTTAAGCTGTAAAATGAGCAAAACAGTAAAATTTCAAAACTATACCAAAACTAAAACTGATCAAAACTGTACCTCAAAGCCAAAATAGCAAAACTTTATTTAAAAGTAAAAAGTAGCTTAACATCAAAAAGAGCTAAAAGTGTAAGAATGATGGGTAAAATTAGCAAAGGGAGACAAAAATAGAGCAAGTGTGCCAAAGCAGATATCAAAGAGAGCTGTTTTTGAAGGAATTCAAGATACTTTGTTGAGTTTCTGTGGGGAATTTTATTTTAAATGTTAAATATTAGGAAAACTGCAAAAGTTACAAAAAAAAACTAGTGTTTCATCACCCATCTCCTGGTTCAGCAGAACATTTGGATATGTAAATGTTGGAAAAACACAGAAAAAACTAGGAACAGGAAAACAAGTGCGGATGTGCACTACTGTGTTTAAGAAAAAAAAGTTTAGTCTTTTGGAAATACTGTTTAAAAAGTTTTTTTTATTATAATTTGTTATGTTTGTATTTTACAAGGTGTTTGACTGTTTTCGCCTTTGTTTTATGTAGAAAATGCTAGATGAGGGTTTGGTGGCTCACGCTTCAGGAGAGGCCATGCGTACTTTTGTCTATGGCTTCTACATCTACAGAATAGTAGGAGAAAAAGATGGTAAAGAACACGAAGTGAAAACATAAACAGCAGCTCTTTATGAGAAACTAAACAAATGTTCTCATGTGACTCCAGGCCAGACCCCTCAGCATCAGTCTGCAGCTGCTGGAGGCTGGTCAACTTCAGCACTGGAGGATTTTTCCATATTCCAGAGGAAGTGGTTCGAGGTGGCCTTCGTGCTAGAGGAGCGGCAACCCTGTGACCTCCCAGCATTCCTCCTGCCTTGGCTGCCTAGTCGGCCTGCTTCCTACGCAAGTAGGCACAGCTCCTTCAGCCGCAGCTTTGGGGGACGCAGCCAGGCCGCTGCACTGCTAGGTATACCCATCCTGATCATCCCAGTCCACACTGTTAAGATTTCCAGTCTGATGTGGGTCTCTGACAGAACTGTCTTTGTTTGTGTCACATTAGGCCAAAAGAGTGCACCCCTCTCAGAGATCAGATTTTATAGAAATCTCTATCCTAACTGGTGTTTAAGCTACCTATGTTAGACATTTAAATATCTGTTAGAGCTGGGCGGTATACTGGTTTGTAATGAAACCATTTTTTTCTTTCGGAACGTTGCAACACACACGCCCGCTAGTAAAATTGGGGACAACGCCACACAGACAGAGGTACAGTAAGAGAAAAAAGTCAAGAAATAGTTTGAGTTGCAGGAAGAGAATAACTTCAGCTGACCTCTGTTTGCTGATTAAAAAGCAGCGTTTGTACATTTTAACATCAGTCTGAGCTGGGATGGAATAAAAACTATCATCTAATATTACCATGATAAAGACAATTATTACATATACTGTGATATAAAATGTTGGTCATGCTGCCCAGCACTAGTATCTGTTATGGGAGTTTGCTTTTACAAGACCCTGAAAGGTGATTAGCGCTCAAGCTTCCATACGTTTCTCCAGATGTCATTACAGTCGTATTTCACAGGAATGATTTTTTTAAAGTTCTTTTCATAAAACACTTCCAGCTGGGATTTGTGGACGCTTCGATGTGATTTGTGAATAGACTGAGTCAGCTAGGAGATTTGAAGCCAACCCACCCCTGATGTGCCTTTGTGCCGGTAGTAACAGAGCCATAACAGCTGACATGTCGGTCGGCTCGACAATGATAAAAAGACGACATATGATCTGTGTGACCACCCAGTCATAGGGTAAAACTAGGATTCAGCAATATTGAGGACAATTAATTGTGACGTTTAGCCGGTAATGATTATTGTGATAATTTACCCCCTGGAGCTCCTGGAAACACAGATGTCAGGAGTTGTTGGAGACAACAGCGTCTTACCTAAGGACAATTCAGTGTGCTGCAGGTGGAGGGTTCAAAAACTACCACAGTACCATGGAGCTGTCTGCCTATTTTTAACATCTAGATGACTATTCTGTCTGTAGATTTCTAATGATTAGAGCAACAATCAACACTTGAACATCTCTGACTCAGGCTTGGGAGCCCTCTGTCTGTATCATTCAATCAACTCCAGTGCTTCAGGTCTTTTGACTGCCTGCCTGCTCATCAGACCACCAAACTGTTTGTTTGTTTGTTTGTTTGTTTGTTTGTTTGTTTGTTTGTTTTGCTTCTTCCTGTCTTGTCTGTCCACCTCTGTCTTCTTTGCCCCGCCCCCACTCGCCTCTCTGTTCTCCAGCTGCTACAGTCCCAGAGCAGAAGACTGTCACACTGGATGTGGATGTCAATAATCGCAGCGACCGAACGGAGTGGTGCAGCTGTTATTATCATGGCAACTTCTCTCCTAACACGGCCTTTGAGATCAAGCTGCACTGGATGGCTGTCACTTCTGCTGTGCTTTTCGAAATGGTACCTTCCTCTTTTTCCCTTAAGTGTTCAGTTATTATGTTATTACATGATGTGGCTTTAAAATTTTGTGATAACATTCGCCTTACCAACTTTGTGCACAGTGCAACAGCGCTCAGAAAAAACACAAGAATGGTCTAGCAGAGCATCATATTAACAGTATGACAATGACTTTGGAGATTTTCAGGCCTTTTAAACTTTGGGGCACCTTTTAAAATCACTATGCACTTTTTACCTTAAGCCCAGAAACAGTCCCTCCCCAAAAAGTTTATTAAAAATTTATTTTAAATTTATTATTTTTTTTACTTTCACTGCATTAAGTCTTTTCAACAACTTCAGACCTAACCCTACATATAATGTTTTGTATTATTTCTTCTTATTTTTAAAGTTTTTTTTAACATTTTTGTCAGGAAAAACCCTTGATTTTCAATATGAGAAAAATACAAATTATGCAATAATTTTAAAAATAAGGTGCAATGTTAATGTTAAAAAGCTGGAATAAACTGGGTATCCCTGAGGCGTCCCACTGGTAAAAGGCCCTTATGGCCTTTGGCAACCTGAACTTTACACACACACACACACACACACACACACACACACACACACACACACACACACACACACAAAGGAAATACTGTAGATCAGCCTAAAAATGATCAAAAGAACCTCAGTCCAGTCTGTAAACTGTTTTTATATTTTTGTCACATAGTTGAAAACCTTTTGGGTCCCGGGCCGAAAAAACCCGACACATTACTTACGGCATAAAAACATTAAAAAATAAGGGTGAAGAGAGGGAGCAAAATCGGATGCAAATGGTGGCTCACTGTACAGTAAGAATAATTATTTTTTTTGTGTGTAGCCTTCAGGCTGATGCTGAGTTGAGTTGTGGCCGCAGCGCAGCAGCTGCGCTTTGGGTAGATTCTCGTGCCAGGAGCGCGTGCACCCTCGCCAGCTGGGAAGGTGTTCATATGTGTCAACCCCTTTGGACGTTTACCTGTCTAATGAGCCTCAAAAATCTATATTTTTTGCTAAAAATCCGTAGGCTACCATTCGTACCCGCTCGTGGGGGTGGTGTGGGGTTCCGTGGAGATGACTGCGCCTGCTGTAACGCAGGAGCAAAGGAGAGAGGAAAAAATGGATAACTTGATGTTTTTTTATTTATTTATTTATTTTAACGTCAGTTCAACGCCGCGTTCAACTAAATAGACAACAACTAACCAGACTTCAATATCACGTTCGGGAGATGTCTGTAAATTTCAGGAAAATCTCAGGCTTTGGTTATCCCATGCGAATGCGCCACATAAATCAATGACACCCCACTACTTATTTAGACAGTTTTCTCACTCATTCTCCATTTAATTTATATTTTTCCTGCATCTAAAAATCATTTCTGATCCCACAGAGAGGAATCAGAGGAGAATTTCACACGCTGGACACATTTACATCTATTTTACATATTTAAATGGAGGCGTGTCAGGGGAGGTGTCTCACGTGCGCTCAGTTCCAGGTTCGTTGGGATGGACAAAAGAAAGGTGCACAGGAACCTGCATGTGCACAGTTTTATACATCTAAATTTTTTGGTGCGGCGCACTTTTCTAAATTTTTCCGTACGTCAACTTTTAGTGTGAAAGTAGAGCTGGGCGATATGATCAAATTTTTATGTCACGGTATTTTCAACATTTTCTCCGGTTTCACGGTATTTGACGGTATTTTTCTTTTCATCACAGCTCAGCTGATAATAAAATGTACAAACCCTGCTTATTTTTTTCTTTTGCTGTACCTCTGTCTGTGTCTCTGTTTCCCTCCTCTGTGTCTGTTCTTAGACTTGTGGTTGGAGACAGTAGTCATGCATTTTGGTCCAGTCGTGAAGGAGGAGGGTTAAGAAAAGATTATGATCGGGTTTATTGTTTTATGTTATTTATTAAAGGTTATCAGCACGACTCACCTTGCACACCAGTCAATTCTAACTCCACTACGAACTACTTCCTGCAGGCTTTTCACAATAGAACCACGTTAAGTCTCGATCAGCATAACGTCTCCATATTAACTAACCGTGTTAAATCTAACTGTGCACGTCACTGAAGAGGTGTTTACTACATTCAGCGACGGCGAAAACGGGATTTTTTTTAAACATCAGTCAATATAAGCAGCGGAATCACCACCTGCTGCTGCAACTAGCTACTCCAAACATTAGCATGCTAATGCACATAGCGGTGCAGCAAGGAAAAATGTCCCCCGGGAAACAACAGTTCACTGGCGGCCGCGACGAAACGTTCCGCTATTTAAACTGGAATGTCCGGTATTCAGAAAATTCATATCATAACAAAAATAAAAACCGGTATTCGGAACAAAATGGTATACCTCCCAGCACTATGTGAAAGCTGTGCAATCCTTTATGCATGAGGTCCCTGATCTGATCTGTAGAAGAACTGTTAGCACACAGGCGGCGCGGTGGCTCTGTTTACTTCTGTGTTCTTGTTTACTACAATACAAAACTCAGCAACCACTGCACGAAGCACCTTTATTCTTGGATCACGTTTTTCTGCTTCTTGTTAAATTTTTCCACAGCAATATATTTAGCTTGTAGCTAATGTTAAGCTGCTTTTAGCTGAGCTCTTGCTATTTTAGTTAGCATTATGTTAGTTTTAGCTACTATACCACAATTTTAGGTTTTAGCTAGCCTTTTGCTAATTATAGTTTTTAGCCATAGTTTGCCACTTTTAGCTACCACTTAGCTTCTATTAGCTTTTGACATTTTTTGCTCCTTTCAATATAATGGGGGTCTAAAGCCCCAGTGTGGTTGGGGGGGTAAATGGGCATTACAACTAAAACCTGTTTTCCCTTTATTTTGAAGGTAGAGTCTTAAGCCTGAAACATACTCGCTCCGACGCCAACGGGTCAACGCGCGGTCATGTGGTCGATCGGCAGTCGTTTTCGCACACACTTTTCGTAGTCGCTGAGACACCCCGAGCCCGGGAAACCCCCCTCCCACTGAACCATACGTCACTGCATGGAATTTCCCCCCGCAACAGCCGACAATCATTGCAGAAAAAAAAAGACGTCACTCACCCCACGTATTTGTCCACATCTGTCCTGGTTAAAGCTCCACAGTTTTTATCAGTCAGATTCCTCCATGCACAATGTCTTTTTATCTTCATTCATGAGTTTTTCACGTATGACTATCTTTATAAAACTCTGCTTCCCGGTGTCGGCTCTGGGAGTGAGTCAGTGCTTTTTTCCCCTCTTTTTTACTGAGTGTAGCAGCGCATATTAAGCACAACCAAACAAGCCATAAGTTTTTCACTGTTTGACTCTATCTTATAAAACTCTGCTTTCTAGTCTGGGAGCGAGTTGTACTTTTTCCTTTTTTTCCCCCGAGCGCAGCACAAACACGCCCACGAATTTCAGACCAATCACACATTACCGTCGACACGGGAGGTGGGGTTAAATGTTCTGCCGGGGGGTTGTGCCAAAAGAGGCTGTCGACACGACGCTCCAAAGCCTGGTGACGTAATTTTCGTCATTCAACTGCGACAACCCGTTCGCAGGGAGTATTACTGCTTTAGATTTAGTATTCATGATAAAACCATTATATTATGTCAGGGTTACAGTACATCAAATAAAGCAATGATAAAAACATACACAGAGTCCATATGGCTTTTGGTGACCTGAATTTTACAGACACGCCCACATGGGCGCACACAATTTTTTTTTCCCCACGCTTAATTCACACCAATCTTTAATATGAATACACATCAAACACATCAAAACCATTTTTGAAGCATTCAGATTTTTTTAGCTCCATGCATTTTGCAAGATAAGAGAACAAGGCCTCCAATAAAACTGTAATAAAGGTCTGAAGCCCCTGGGAGTTTGGGGGACGTCATCCCACCTAAAACTGTTTTTCCTAATATTTTGAAGGTTTAAGCTTAGATTTATTAAGTTATCATGAAAAAAGTACTATATTATGTCAGAATTACAGTGCATCAAAAATATATGGTTATAATGGGAGTCAGTGGGACCAAGCTGGGCTCTAGGGTAAAGAGTTTATGGTCGGTGTGTATCTCCTATTCTAAACACCTTAGAATAAAGCACTTCATGAAATTTGTAAAATAATCTTAAACACATCCTTGCCATGTTTTGTGAAAATAGTCTTTAAACTGACTGAAATAGAAAATTAGCAGAATGCACACGTTTGCTATTCTAAGGTGCCCGGTCCACAATGTGCTCCAGTTGTGCATGGGCTGTCATGTGATGAGTCAGCTCAAAATGAAAGTTGCGTATGTAAATACAGTTCTATGAATCCAGAATGACCGCCAGAGGCCGGTGGTAAAAGCACTGAATGTTCCCTTCGCGTATGTGCCGTTCAAGCCATAATACCAACAGAGTCACACCTGTGACCAATCGGATGACTAATCAGAGGCTATACAGCTTGACATCATCCGAAGCTCTGTTCCTACAGAATCTTCTCGCAAATGCAATGATTCTGAGTGACAGAATCTCTGGCAGTCATTCGGGATTCATAGAACCATAGTTATATATGTAACTTTTGTTCTTCTACATCCCTACTGACTGCCAGAGCACGGTTCTGACAGCACTGAATGACAAATACCAGCGATGTCACAAGGAATCCTGAGCACCTACCTCACTGAGAAGGCCCAGAGGACCCTTGTAAAAGAACCTGTCCTAGAGGATTTGGAGAAGCAACATTCACATTGTAAAATCTAGTGCATGTGCTCAGAGAAGTCCATGATGCCGCTGCACATATCGCTTCCAATGGGACCCCTTTCAGGGCTGCCCAGGAAGTGGAAACAGTGAGCCTCATGCAAGAACATGTTCGTATTCTTATCCTAAATTTCTCTTACTTTTGTTCGTACGAAGGGTTCGTACGAACATGTCACGTCAGATTCAACAAACTCTTCTATCTTCAGGAAAAGTGCGTAAATGAGCTGCGTAAATTCCACCTGTTTTATCCAGCTGCTCATGCACGCGAGAGGGGATTAGCATAATTACCACCCCAACAACACCATATAAGGCTATGTTTCCTACCTCAGATATCAGGAAGTGTTCATTCATGAAAATGACAGCAAAAACTAAAAATAAGAACTTTACGAGTTCAGAGATTGAAGTTCATCTGTCAGAGATCCAGAGAAGAAAATCTGTCATTTTAGCAGGTCAGCTGTGGAATAAAATGAGCAGCTAAAAGTATAAACAACTGTGTTATATCATTTTCATTTGTTCAGAAGCCACTGTTGTGCACCGTACCCCCCCCCCCCCCCCCCCCCCCCCCCCGCGTGGTCTCAAGTGGTCTCAGTTGCGGTTCTGAAATAAGCCTTTTAAAATGTTTTCKAAATATTTCTGGCACTTTGGAGAAAATCCAGGACTTGCTAGAGGGATTATGTATCCCCTCTGGCCTGGGAACGTCTTGGAGTCCCCCAGGACGAGCTGGAAATTGTCGCTGGGGAGAGCGGGGTCTCTCTGCTGCTGCTTCCGCGACCCGATCCCGGATAAGCGGCAGAAAACGGACGGACGGACAATTTATATTGTTAGTCTAAATGATTACATTTAAAATTATAACTCTAATTCAAGCAGAATAGCCTATTGTCAACATAATTATGGAGTGTGATTTATTTTCAACTCAAAATATCTTCAAACTAACGAAATATAAAGTTATTAGTGAAGAAAATCCGTCTGGATAACAGCAGACTGACTGCTCGTAAAATATACGACAGGTCTGGACCACTCGTGAATTTTGTTCGTATCTGAAAAAAATCTTAGAATACGAAAACATTGGTGAATGCCACAAATTCTCCTAAATCTGTCGTACGCACAACTTAAGAACAAATCTGTGCGTACAAACGGTTCTTGCATGAGGCCCATTGACAATCACTGTAAAACTGAGTTATACCTATGCACATCCTAAATTGGATAGGCTCCCAAGTTAGTTGTAAATGAACATCCAAAGATAGTTTTGTGAAATTTTATTTTTTTTTCATGCAGTTGTATACAGTGATAGTATATAAATTGCTAAACGTACAAACACAAACAGGCAAAAAAACATTGTCTGCCTTTTCACCCTTTGATGGATACACAGTGTGATCTTCAATAACTGTGAAATAAAATGCATTTTTAACAGGTCCAAGGGTGGCACAGGAAAGCAGCCTCTTGTGGCTTTCTGTTGGTTCCAGTGCTGGAGTTTCCTTTCGCTCTGACCTCTCATTTGTACGGAGACCCGCTGAGAGCCCAGCTCTTCATACCCCTCAACATTCAGAGTGTGCTTAAGAATGGCAGTGACAACCTGTTTGAAGGTATGCTTTCTCTCTGAAGGAGAGTCATCCTCAACATCGCACATTTTAACCCCTGCTTCATCATTTCCATGTCATCAAACAGGGTTTGAGCCGGAGACGTATTGGGACAGGATGCAGCTCTTTCAGGAGGCCATTCTCTACAGGTTTCTATTGATTTGCTTCAAAACATTGAACCAGCGTTCTGTTTTAGGATCATGTAATGCCGTTCTCCTCAACCTCCAAGTTTGTGAAGTCTTAAAGGAAATTAGCTTCTTTGTTTTTGTGGCCAAATCATCTAGAATCTGAATTAAAGCCTTGATGATGCTCTCTAGTGTTTTAGTGCATTAAGTCTTGTTATTTGCTTGCTTCTTGTACCAGGTTCGGGTTTGTACATGATACGTTTTCTTCCTCAACTTTTAATTTCCATGCAGAGAACAAGCCTCAATACATCCATGTTACAGGTTTGTCACATCACTATAAGTAAAACAAGCCAAACCACTTTGTCATTTTGCTGAAAACTTAACCATCACACATTTTCAGGCACAGTGTTCCTGCAGTTGCCATATTCCAAGAGGAAGTATTCCAGTGGTCAGACCCGGAGACGCAGGAACTCCACCACTTCCAACAGCCAGGGGCCGTTTGGTGGTGAGGAGAGGGTGGGCTATTACTGGGCCTACAACACCATGCTGACGAAAGCGTGGAGGACCGGAGTGCTGGGTGACGAGAGGCTGGCTGACCGCCTGCTCAAAGACTTCACAGAGTTCTGCTCAAACAGGGACAACAGACTTGTGGCTTTCTGGGACAGCTGCCAGGAGAGAATGAACGCCAGCGCTCCCTGACAGATGGAGGATCCACGCAGCATTCTCAACTTTGATTTGTCCATTCATGTTTTTTTTTCTGTTTGCATTTTGACAAAGCCTAGCAGATGTTAAAAGCTAGAACTGTCAACTTGATTTAAAGACACAGTACAAGTTCTATTTGTTGAATTACTGCTGGATACCTACACTGAAGTAGCCTTATCTTGTCTAATAACTTATTGTACAGCTTTGAATAAAAGATGCTAATTATACACCAAAACAAGCAGCTCCATTAGGAATAGTGTGCTGTGACTTGTGATTGCAGCCTGTCTCACAGCATAGACAAACTGCAAGAAAAAAAGGAGATCTATGGGATCCTAGTAAAACAGAGGTGCTTCCATACCTCGTTGGAGCTCAAACATACTTCCCAGCATGTCTCATTTGCCGTGGAAATCTTATTTTTACCTGGACAGAAACACGAGATTCAAGACTAGAAAGTACTCCGTGAAATGGTCAACAGGATTTATAGCAATATGCAAGACACACATCATGTCACACAGGCAGTGGTACAAAATGTGTGCAAATGAGGCAGTCTCAAATACACTCATTTATACAGTATGTTATCCAAACTGACAAAACTGGGCCAAGGAGAGAATGTTTGATAAACAGCAACAGGAATGGTTACTTCTAAACATTGTCCTGATCTGAAAACACTTTGTCCGAGAGAAAACAGAGGATGAAGAGTAAAATCATAAAACATGATGACATTTTAAAGTAAGCAAAAGAAGTCAATGACTCTTGGCCTGAGAAGAAATGTAGGACTTTAAAGGATAATTTATTTTTCTAAGACAATTCCTTCCTCTTGATCAAACATTGATCACTAAAATAAATTAGGAAAAATAATTATTTCAAAAATTTGAACCAATTATTGGTCTAAACAAGTCATAAGCTGAACCATTAAATAAGCAATCGACCAAGAAAATAATAGTGACTTGAAGCAAATATTGAAAATAAAATGTTAAAGTAAAAATAATAATAATAATAAAAAGAAATAAGCTGTAAGAATTTAAATAAATAAAAGGCAACAAAACAAAAACATGACATCAGGATGTCGTACTTTGTCTGAGAAACTGTTTAGAGAAACCTAATAAAACCATACTTAGGAAAATAAACCCACAATATTTCCACCCCATTCAGGAAAGTTTTTCTTTAATCCACCCAAACAATAAAGTTGAAAAACCCAACCGTTTAAAATAATGAAGTAGGCTATTCAAGAAAAATATGCAGTGATAAGTCAAACAGATGAAAATTAACTTAAAAACAAACCAATTAAAATAAATTTAAAAATTATTTTCAAATTAAGTCAAAAAAATTAACCTTTCCCTCTCTTTTTTTATTTGAGGGAACACGATTGCTTCAGTCTTAATGACCAGCTGACCAGAGGGCACGAGACCAGCATCACATGCAGGGCAAGGAGCTTGTCCTGTAGCAGACATACATGAAAAACAGAAAATTAAACAGAGAATAAAACTTCTGAAGTGAATACCCCAAAGATCAGTTACGGTTTTGGCGAAAAGCTTGTAATGAGAATTCACCAGGCGGATCCAGTTAGTTTCCCAATACTACTGCCATCTAGGTCAAAATATAAAATCATTTCGTTTTCCTTCCTCTTATATACTGTCCAGCAATGTAGTTCTAATCAATTATATGTTGTTATGGTGGAAAAACAACTCACTTTATGAATTAAGGTCTTGACGTCACACCAGGAATAGCCACTTCCAGGAAAATCCCATCAGGTCAGCAACTACCTCACTGCATCTCGTCTTGCTCTGAAGGCAACTAGCATTGTCCACTCAGTCTAGGTCTGTTGTACCACAAGAACTAGGCAGAAAGAGATTTTTCTATGTCTAACTCTTGGAAATCGTGGGACTTGTATATCAAAATTATGACAAATATGGAGGCCAAAAAGCCTTTGTTTGCTACTAACAAAACTGTAAAAGTGTTACGATGTGTGAAGGAATGAACCCAGGTCCGGATGGAGGGGAGGAGTTTAATAAAGATATTTATTAACAAAAATAAAACAAAAGGCTGACGTGGCAGCAAACTTACAAAAACTGAAGGCAACGGAAAGGACAAGGGGACCATAACAGGTGAGAACCAAACAATGAACCAGCGACTAATGAGGAGATGTGAAAAGAATTTAAACAGAGGAAGAGAGGAGATGAACAACAGCTGAGAAGTAATTACTTAGAGCAGACTGGTGAAAGGGAAACTGCAGGAAACAGACTGAGAGATGATAAGTAATGACACAAGAGGGAGAAAACAGACAAGACACAGACCCCTACAAAATAGTGATGGGCAAATGAAGCTTTTCTGAAGCACTGAAGCTTGCATTGAAAAAGGGTTCATTTCTTGAAGCTTTCCAACACAGTTCTCTTTGGCGCCATCTTGTGGCCAAAAGTACGAAAAGCTGCTTGACACAACACAAAGTGAAGCACTTCATCGTGATGGAGCTGACAGCTCTTTAATGAGATATTTCTGTTTGATATCAGGCTGTCATTGTGTTGCTTGAACAGATTTTATTTATTTATTTTTTTATTTTTTGTGGGTGGGAATAAAGTTACTGTTGTTTATGGTTTATTATAAATAAATAAATAAATAAATAAATAAATAAATAAATAAATAAATAAATAAATAAATAAAGTGTGCCTGTGTATTTTATACAGAATTATTTCAAGTTCAAGATCTTAATTAATTTTCATTTAAAAACAAAATTGATTCTATACACAAAAAATCATTAATAAAATGAAAGACAGAAAGCAGAAAGAAAAGTCTAATTTTATTCTCTGCCCCTTATTTTCAAAAAATAAAATATAAGCTACTGGATTATTTCACACATTCTTAAAACCAAAAAATACAGTAGTTGAATTTCAGCTTAAGATTTTCACAATCTTATCTTGACATTTCTCTGAGAATAATTTTGAATATGGTCATATATTTAAAATATATTCTGTGTGTGACTGCTTGTCTGTGTTTTTCTAAATACTGTACAGGATCAATAAAATCCCCTCTGAGAGACTCTTCAGGTTTACTTTAAGTCAGATGTTTGATATCTAAATTTTAGGCCCAGCTTTGAGACAATTGTTTTTTTTTTTTTTTTTTTTTACAATTAATTCTTCAAAGTATTAATAATATTTCCTACAAGTCTGCTTTGATTTTAATTTTGACATGAATGTTTAAAACTTTTCCACTGAACTTTAAAATGTTTGGATAATCCCTTTATTAAATAGAGTCCATACAGTCGATCAGTTTCATCGTTTGCGCGCGCATGTCATTCAGTCTCGTGCAGAATGAATTGAACTGTTTGACGTCACTAATGAGGTCACAGCTGACCGTTGTGTTGCCATGGAGATCATATGTTCTCGTGCTCGACACACGGGAGGCGACGTCGCTCTCCGTTCATTTCCTATGGAGCTTGTGCGGTGAGGCGACAATCGCGTGCCCTCCTCCAGCTAAGCGACCGGCGAAAATAGTGCATGTGAAATTTCGCGCTCGTACACGTAGAGCTTGCGACGCGACTTATGAAAGTTGAAAAATGTTCAACTTTTGTCGCTGTCGCTTAGCGTACAACCAATCAGCGAGGCTGTCATTGACTGACCAATGAGAGGAGAGTATGCTACACACTGCCGTTAGCTAACACTCTCACCAAGTGATTACTAAAAAGCTTTGTGGGAATTTATTGGCACCAGGGTGAAGTTTATGGTAAGTTTTTRCTCATWAAACTGTATCTTGATGTGTGTTTGTTTTTCAGTATCATTAGCATCAAGATTTGTTTAGTTTACACGTCCGTAATGCACACCCGCCTTCAGTCGGTGCTAACCACTGAGCGGTCGTGCTGCCTGACATCTTGTTTCTAAGAATATATGATCTCCATGGCAACACAACGGTCAGCTGTGACCTCATCAGTGACGTCAAACATTCAATTCTTCTGGAAGTTACCAGCAGAATGCATTCACACCAGCAGAATGCATTCACACTAGCTGAGACAAATACAAAAGTTTATATGAAGAGTCCCAGGCTAAACTACTGTATATAAAATAGAAGAATTATTTCACGAGTACATGTCAAATTACAAATGCAAAAGTCAATTTGAACACTTCCAGGCGCAACTATGTAAAATACAGGAATCGTGTCATGAATACGAGTCAGGGTCAAATGTATCAGTAACTTTTTCTAAATTTGGATCGGATGTTTTTCAAACAGCTTGAGGAAACGAGACGCAGACCAATCTACAGAAACTACATCAGTAAAATCCTCATCTCAGAGCACGGCTTCAGAAGAAATATCTGACACTGAGACATCAGCCCAGGGTAAGTTTGGAACCAAATGGGGTTATTTTGCTAAAAAAAACATAGAAATTGGTTGGTTATGTTAGTTTATCTGCAGCTTGTACTATATATCTGAAATATTCACTGCTATCTGTCTATGACTCTGTCTCTGAAGTTGTTACCTAATTCTGATGGGTATCTTGTGTTCTATTTAGTCATGGCAAGTGATCGATTCCCCATCCATGGCTGATTGCTGAGAGGGACCAGATCTCCAGCCTTGCCTGGGCAGGTCGGGGTAACCTAACGGTGTCAACAACCGACCTGTTTACCGAAGGGTACTGGGTAAGGTGGTAAGTATGCGGCCCCCCCTGAGTTCCTCCTATTGGAACAATGCACACAGGGTGTGGCGGTCCAGGGCATCAGGACCTTAATCGTAGCCCAGTCTTCTATGAGGGTTAACCTCAATCATATGCACCATACACCCCCCTCCACTCTCTCTCTCTCTCTCTCAGACTGGCAGGGACCTCTCTCTCTCTCTCTCTCTCTCTCTCTCTCTCTCTCTCTCTCTCTCTCTCTCTCTCTCTCTCTC